GGTTGACACTGCAGCAACACCATTAACAGACATGAGATTTTGAGCACAATCGCCATTTCTCAGCGGATCTCTAGCTCGACTAGCATCTCTCTCTCTCGCCCAAAAGAAAAAGGAAAGGAAAACACGGTTGTCTGCTAATTTAGAAAAAATTTGTTGACTACATAATCATGTCTGTCTATTGGAGCGAATAGGATGATCAGGCCAAGGGATGCCCCCTCTTCCCATCACTCTCCTTTCCTTAAAGATGAACCTTGAGCCACCAAAGTCTTTCTGGCTCGGTTAGGCCCGATTTCCCCAAAAGGTGAAACCATTGTGGTGGTTTGGCAACTAGACGTGTCAAAATGGGTATCTTAACCCATATTTAATGGATTGAGCATTATATGAGTTAATTATATTCAGTAAATGAGTTATAAATAAGCTTAGAATGGCTAAACCCAAAAATATATGGGTGTTAAATGGGTTCATAGTTTGCCCAAACTCAATCCACCTTTGTGACTCTTTCTTCATCATCTATGACAAAATAATGGACTTCTTAGGGCCCGTTTGGTTCGACTTTGGGGGAATGCATTTAGGGGAATGTAAATACCTTTGGGCTAAAGGGGTTTTCTGAAATGCAAGTAGCATTTGGTAAGTGTTTTATAAAAATCAACTTGGGCTAAAGGACTTTTGCTATTTTCTTTTTTTAAAAAAAAAGCTTCGGTGGAGCTACACCGCTGGCCACCGCCTCCGGCCAGATTTGGTCGCCGGCCAACCGCCGACGGCCGGATTCGGTCGCCGCGACCACCGCTTGGGTCGCGCAACCCCGCGACGCCGCTGGGAGTCGCGGACCGAGTCGCCCGGTCGCAAGACCACCGCACGGGGTCGCGCAACCCCGGCGACCGCCGCGGGGTCATCGAACCTCGGGCGGTCTCCGGGTCGCGCGACCCAAGCGAAGCGTTGCACAGGTCGCACGACCTGTGGCGACCGCTGAGGTCCCCGGCGACCCAGCGGCGGCGATCGCCGGGTCGCGCGACCCCGAGCGGTGGTCACCCGAGTCGGGTTAGCCCTCGGTGCGGCGGCCGCCGGACTCAGACCTGATTTAGGGAAGATGAACAACAGTGTCGATGAATAGTGCAAGTTGCATTCCGAAAATGCAACTTCCCAAAGCACCTTCTCAGAGGTGCATTGGCCAAAGGTCCCTGAGGGGAGCATTCCAAATGCAATTGCATTTCCTCAAAGTGAGAAAAAAAAATTGCCAAACGCCATTTGCATTTAGTAGGACTTAGAAGCCAAATGAGCATTGGGAATGCTTTGAACAAACGGGGCCTTAAACTGTTTCAAGTTTAAAGAAGTATAGGTAGGCCCGCAAGATGGGCCCGACTTCACTTTTATCAAAAATATAAAGACAGTTTTTTTCCCCATTATTTTTTATTTTTATTAATCTTGTAAGTTTTGCCTGTTATATATTAGAGTACATCTTTCCTTGGTTTCATTTGGCATTGTTATATTTTATATAATAGTCTAATATTAGTTCTTGTCATTGTTAATCCATAATAGCATAAATTTAATTAAAATTTTAATTCTTTCACGTTATTTGTTGCTGTAATTTCATAAATTCACAACCAAATACTAACTTTCTCTTATTCTTCATTGTGAATCAATACAAAAATTCAAAATTCTACGTAATATTAAAGCCATTCTTTAACAACTTATAATCGAAATAGCGATTTTACCCAAATAACATATGCACATGAAGAGCTTAAAATGGATTTACTAGGTGGATACAGATTTTCATAGGTTGAATTAAATATTGAAGTATTTTTAATAAATGTGTTGGGTCGGGTATGGGTATGAGTTACGAAATTTGTATTGCATATAAATTGATCAAAACGGGTTAAATGAGTTAATTTGGGTTAGACCATTTTCAATCCAAGCCCAACCCTACCCGACCTGTCAGTTTGATGACCCTATTGGCAACCTACTTGGCGCATACTGATTTTTATTTATAGGTGAAGACTCTGAAGGGTAGAATAGTCGGCCCAGCGGGTAGCCACCACTGAGTTGGCATTTTGTCAGCTATGAAAACACATGACATATCACTCAATTTAACAGAGTACCATATTGAGCTGGTCCTTAAAAGTTGAGGTATTAAATAGACTAAAAACAGTACAAGTATTTGTTTGCACAATAAGTAAAATTTGAAGTACTTGTGGTATCCTTACCCTACTATGGAAGGTCGACCATTAATCGAATTAAAGAGATGGCAACTTAACTCAAGTAGGAATATCGTCATGCCTAAACAACAAAAAATGAATTAATGCTGCGTTTGGCGGTTCGGATTTGAATCCGAATGAGATAACAAATTATCATATCTAGTATTTGGTGACGTTCTTCGAACCGGATAAATCCGAATACATCTAGATAAAATGCCAGAATATCGAGGGTAGGGGGTAGAATAAACCTGAATTGGATATAAAATTTTATTAACTTAACAATTCCCACACATTAGGAAAACCCCACCTCAGGTGATACTCATTGTCTTTGGCATTTCTCTCCGACAGCACCCCACCACCACTCTAGCGGCTATCCACCATGACTGTCCCTCACTCCGGCGTACTCAAGTATCCTCGCCGATGCCCTTGCTCACGGCTCACTTTGAAGGCTAGGGCTCACCGCCTCATCAGTGGTTCCCTCTCTTTCTTTTCCACCATCATCAAATCATGTCTTGGTTTCTCTCTTTACTTCACCTCTGATTACTCATTCTCGTCCTCCATTGTTCCAAGATCTCTTTTTTGGTCAACTCTAAACTAGGCACTCACCAAATGTTCGATAAAATGCCAGAGAGAGTTCCTTCTCGGCTTTAGTTTAGAATTTTTCTTAACGTAAGAGGTCAGCCTCCTCCATTTCACTTTGTAGCTCACCCTCCTCCGTCACACTCCCCCCTCCGCTGTAGCTTCACTACAGTAGCTCCACCTTCAAATCCTATCTTAGGTTACACCAAACATATTATAAGATATTTCTATAATTTGGAGGATATTTGGAGTATTTCAAATCCCTCTCTATCCTATCCTATCCTATCCCAATCCAAATCTGAACGACCAAACACAGTCTAAGAATTCATCCCTTCCTTTGCCTCATTTGCATCTTGAATGTTAGATTGGGTTGTTCTTCATGGAATCTCAGTAACTGATTGACCAAGTGAAAGTGGACCCTGCAATCAGATCAGGTTAATCAAGCTTGATCAGCGAAACAATCAGTATATCTTTCCCATCATTCCATCCTTTTTGAATTGCCAAACACCATCCATATAATTGCACAAACAGTTCGCGTCGGTGCTAGGGAAAAGGAAACAGGGATGACCGAATAGGCAAGTCGCAATCCGACCCCTAAAAGAAGGCCGGTCGCAAATAATGGAGGGCATTATTATCTCACTGGTTTCCAACTTAGCCGTGCGCACTCATTATTGCATATCGCATTATGAGCTTCTGTACCCAAAAGAAGTCAGGTTACGAGTCCCACTCTAAAGTTATTTTGTGATATGAGATGACATTGTCCCCCTTAGTCCCGAGAGGATTAGTGACCAATTATTTATTTTAAATAAGTGTTAAAAACTAAAACGTATTGGACGTAATGAAATGGCATGTTTGAGGCCTGTTTGTTCAGCGGAAAATGAATTATTTATAAAATATTTTCCTAAAAATGATCACTTATAAAAATAAATGGACGCAATCTATATTCATCGTCCACGAAAAGGAAAAATTGTCTAAAAAGTCTTAAACTTATCGTATGGCGGCCAATTCAGTCCTAAAATTTTCAATTATGTTAATTTAGTCCTAAACCTTTTGACGATTTGTCAATGTAGTCCTTCCGGCCAATTATACAAATAACAGTTTTACAACTAAAATGGCAAATCTTCAAAAATTTTAAGACTGAATCGACACATTGAAAGGTTTATGACCAAATTAGCAAATCGTCAAAAGGTTTAGGACTTAATCGGCATAATTAAAAGCTTTATGACTGAATTGGTCACCCTACAATAGATTTAGAACTTTTTGAACAATTATTCCTCCACGAAAATGTTTAGACATAAATTATTGTCGATAATAAAAATATTTTTCAATGACTAATTATTTCGAGTGATAAAAACGATCATTTTAAGGGAAATATTTTTCAATTCATTCATTTTTCGCGAAACAAAAAGAGCAATAAAATCAAGTAAAGAAATAATTGAATGCATTTAAGCAAAAAAGGTCATTCAATTTGTTCGAGAAAAAAGGTTAATGGAAATTTGGATCTCACTAGTAAAGTAAGTTGCTATATCCTACAAGAATGTTCGTAAATCCATCTTTATTGAGTAATAAATGATATTTTGAATTCATGAAATCCAAACTTGGCAAGTTGATAATGGGAAATTAATTATAGGAAATGCAAACTATTCCTAGCAACAAATTTTGCATGTCATCACTTCAATCCTTCATTGATCTTCGTGGAAGTTGCCATTCTACATTTTTTCTGGGCAATTCTCATAAAGTTGGTAAGTAGATAATTATAAGCTTAAAAGAGGAAAAAATTAAAGTTGAGGAGTTGATAGGATTATTCTCCTTTCTTTGTGATCTTATCTTTGCTTTGTCCACACGTTACACTTTCCACAGCAACTCTATGAAAAGATATAGTCATTTCACCAACAAGGTAATTAGAAAAAAGCTAATACGCAATTCACCAAGAATTTCGATTTCTTTACTAGGCCTTTTATTATGAAATTCAATGTGGGCCTCACTGTAGTCGAGCCTAATTAAGATATTGCATATCTTTTCCTAGATATAGCAGCACATACCAAGAAGACACACTCCACAAATAAGAATAATGCTAGAAATTACAAAGATTAGTTTACTAAAACGGCTGTTTAACTTTGGTAATTATAAAACTATTTGTGGAAATAATTTCTTGTCCGAATATGTCCATATAACACAAAAGACCCTCCTCAATACATTGTTATATACATAATATATGATTTGTCGCGGTCACACAGCCAATGATATCACGGAGAGATGGAGAACGATTTTTTGTTTCTCAAAGAACCAATCATTACCCTTCTTCACTAACAAGGACTTGTTCACATTCCCTTCTTCTTCCTCCTCCTCCATAATCGTCTCTCTTTTGGTCTTTACCCTAGTTTATATATATACACATTAGAGGCTGCTTCGACTTCCTTCGATTTAACATATTATTACGTGTGCGTGATGGATTCCGATCGCTCCTTCGACACGAGCCTCAATCTCGGTTTAGGCTGTTATGGGGAACCTGAAGATCATGGGATCAAGATCAAGAAACCGGTGGCGAAGCTCGGTGATAATTGGATCCCGTCCCTCACGATAGGGTTGCCCGGCGTGAAGGCGTGTGGACCGGGATCTGCGAGTGGAGACGATGTCACGACATCGTCGTTCTCTAACTCAAGCAGCGTGAAGAGAGAGAAGGCGGAGCAAGGAGAAGAGGAAGCGGTCGAGAGAGTGGCAGTCTCGCCGAGGGCGACTATCGACATCGAAGATGAGGATGAGTTCAGCCCCAGGAAGAAACTCAGGCTTTCTAAAGCACAAAGTTTCGTTTTGGAAGAGAGCTTCAAAGCGCACACAACCCTCAACACGGTAAATCAATCTCTCTCTCTCTCTCTCTCTCTCTCTCTCTCTCTCTCTCTCTCTCTCTCTCTCAAGACTTGTAGTGTATCAAGTCCTTCATTATTTGCGGAAAACGTTGTTCACGGTCATAATCACACAAAGAAGAAATCACGTGTATCAAGAATTTTGAACTTTTGACCGACTCCGTTCACTTCGTGGTTAGTAGAACCAAGAAAGTAGCGTGCATGCTTTTCATACGATTTCTTTTCATAGTTATTACCTGAGCGGAAGCTTTTGAACATAAAGATCTGACTTTTGCTTGGTTGCTAGAATCATTTACATACTTTGATTACTCATGTTTCTTCTTCTCGGCTGGGATTTGTACAGAAACAAAAGCACGATTTGGCGAATCAGTTGAATCTCCGGCCACGGCAAGTTGAAGTGTGGTTCCAGAATAGGAGAGCCAGGTTGGTCCGTCAAAGCCCTAGAGAGAACTTCTTCTTGTCCTATGCAATTTTGCTCCATGGTTTTTCGTTATATCGGTCTTTGCATAGCATAAAATGTTCGTCTCTCTATATTTAATATATTTTGGAAGAATAAGCTAATAAAGTTGTGCATGTTTCAGTAAAGTAATTTGCTTTCCTGTATCCTATGTTTCGTAGGACTAAATTGAAACAAACTGAAGTAGAGTGCGAGATGCTGAAGAAATGCTGCGAAACCCTAAGGGAAGAGAACAGAAGGTTGAGGAAGGAGTTGCAAGAGCTCAAATCGTTGAAGCCGACCGCGTCGGTTTATAGGCAGATTCCGGCAGCCGCCCTCCCTCTGTGCCCTTCTTGCGAAAGAATCGGCCATCCAGAATTCCCTTTCTCTAATGACCCTCGACTTTGGCCGAACCGGCCGGCTCATCCATCGGCCGCCTGTTAGGCATAATCTTTTAGGCAAGAATCTTACATAGTTATACTAGTTTTGGATTTTTCTTCTTCTGCATAAATACTCACCTGGCTCTCTACTTTATTAATCGGGTAGTGGATTCACTGTAGTGACTCGTTTGTTAAGTTTTCATTGCATAGATATACTTCTTGTGAATATAGGATATGATGCGACATGAATTGTTCATGGATGGTAACATTGGTCTTTTCAAGGTTCATCTATTAAATTAGGTGTTTATGTTGAGGGCTATGCATAATTTCTACCATCCCTTAAGCCGTGTTTAGTTCCATTCTTAAATTATCGTATTGTGATGTATTTTACGAGAAACGAATTGAACAAAGAGATGAATTTGCAGTTTAAAGCTTACCCTTCATGTTGTTATGTTAATCGCCGCTTCATAAACCTTGATTTGGTTAAATCTTAAACATATAGGAAGACATGGATATGTAGATAGCATGAGGATGGGAAAGTGAGAAGGTTGGCAACTTGTCATCATCAGTAGCAGTTGATGGTATTTCCCAACAGATGAGCTTATTCCTATGTGCATCAGCATTATTAGGAAAGACACAGATACTCATGTGATGTTCAAGCCTTCAACTTAGTTACATTTATTGAATCCGATTAATGATGATTACTCTAACAAGCGGTTAATTTAATCCAATTCTAATACCAGATTACAGACTCATTCGGCGCAGGAAATCGACCTTCTTATCAGCTTGAATTGGCACTGATCAAGCATATGTTTCCAGTACAATGGCTGCGTTCATAAAGCACTGAGCGAGATACCATCACGTTAGAATGCAACTTCCTAAACCAGTTTTATCTTTACCATTATAATTAAACAAGTTCTTGGCAAAAGACGGATACTCATCAATCCAATTCCCGTCATTCAGGCCGGCGAGTGAGATTTCCGCTCATTGTGGTCACCTCCGGGGTTCTTCGCTCCTGGATAATACCAAGCTTAAGGTCTCAAGGAGTTCGGCAAAGCATGACAAACGCCTTAAGCGTGCAAACCAAGCCGTATGGATGAAAGATTTTCTGGAAACAAACAAGCGCGCATAAATAAAACGAAACTCATTATCAATAGGCGAAGAGGGTTGCGAGGAATCGAACCCATCTAAAACTTCAGCTCCGATACGCACCGACTTGAAGTTGAACGTGCAATCCCCTTCTCTGAAAATGCAAACAGATCGAGAACGACACCCGATATATCAACTTCAAGCACAATGGCTCAGGGAAAATGGCTGAGGAAAAATGACAAGAAGCAAGCGACTATTGATTCCATGTTTAAAATACTATCCGCCCATGGCTAATTAAGCAAGCTTTAATGGTGGAAACCTAGGGAGGGTGGATCGTCAACGTCGATAGCCTGATCAATTTATAATCTCCCCTCGTGGCATCACGTACTTCCAATTGGTCAAATGCGTAATCAACTTAAGCTTTAAATTAATCCTCTTTTCTTAAACCCAAGGTACCAAAAACGAACTGGGGAATCGAACGGAGGAAACAAACACGAAACAAAAGACCAAATTAGCTTCTGGACCTTGTCATAAGGTGGGAAACCACTTGGTCGTTTGGAAGTTGATGACGACAGCAAGTTAGGTAATTGTCCCCCACAATAATCATTTGAGTATTAGGCTGTCAGAACCTTATGGTATCAAGAGATTACGCCACATTACCAGAGAGAAATCGAGTTTCGCTTGTTATTGTCCGAAGCTAGGGTTTGAATCGATGCCTCTGATGACGTGTGAAATTGAAAATTAGTAATTAGGATAAGGTAGTTTATGGATGACATGCGTATTGGTGGTGAAAACTCATGCGCGCTATAAAGAACAACGAAGAGCTATTTGCCTCTTGTAGGTTCGAATTTACAAACATTTCGATCCCGGTGGCCATTATAGTAACATGTAAATAAGAGATTGGAGACGTCCATGTTTGGTCTGCAAATTGGTCCAATCAAACGAAAATGCACTTTATGGGATGGACGGATTACCGTGGTAGTATCGCATGGTGTAACTGATCGATTGAAAGAGAGATGCATATACACATTGAATTTATATACGTGCAAGCCACATTTGGAATGACTCGTAAAATTTGAGGGGTGATACTCGCAAAATAAACTAGGGTGGAATATGGCCTTGACACCATATTAAAAAGTACAACTCAAAAATTTAAATCAATAAATCGAGGAAGACCACACATACATAGGGTATATGAACCCCGTGAACAGGCGATGTGATATATTTTAACATCTAGTTCAAAATGTCAAGCTATATCAAGAATTCGGTGGGTCGATTGGTTGAAAGTGGCTCGAGTTACTTGATCGAGACTAAAATTGAGGGACCTAATCATAAAAACTGAAAGTTGGGTGACCTATTCTAAGGGTTAGGAACAAGTTGAGAGACCAAGCTCAAGATAAACCTTGTGCACAACATGATTATGTGTGCTTTTTTTTATTACATGATGGCATTAACTATTGCAACTTTAGTTAATCTAGATTAGAATACACACAACTCTAATTGATTATGGATTGGGTCAGTTAAGAGATACATGACCAAAACTCAGTTCATCCAGAATGTTCACACTTTCTCTAGCATGCGTCAATTTTATAATCTTGATGAGAAAAGGACGTGCACTATGGAGGGGAGAAAAGTAAACCGGAAGTACCCATCATTATTGATTGATTCAGCCAATTGAAAAGCGGGAACACATCACTGATTACTTCACCAATTCACAATTCAATGCACCATATGGCCATGTCCATGGTAACTTTATTTTTAGCCGATGCTCGTGATTGATTGGCCGCAAAAATATTTAGGGCATAAAGATACATTTTGCATTATTTTAGGAAGCAGCCGGAAATTGAGCTACGCGCTACATATCTTCTCTTTTTTTCTTTATATATATATTTTTTTATAATTCAGAGGTACAAACGAATATAAAGTTTTGACAGTCTAGAAGCCCATGGGATTCCTTTGCAAGCCCAGTGAATCGGTTGATTTCAAACGTTAAGGGTGTGCAACCGGACTAGGTTTACCCGGAAACCAGACCGGCCTACCCGAAAAACAGGTTCGGGAACTGGTTCCCATTTGAACTGGTCCAAGAACCGGTTCCATTTTTTGGGAACCGGTTAGAACGAGTCTGTTTTTTTGTTCCAAGTGAAAACCCACCCTGACCGGTTTTAGAACCAATTTTATATGAAGGTCCACTTGCAATTTTATATGGCCAGAATTCAAAGCTTTATATTAGGAAGAATGAGGGAGATGATCATTATTTGCAGATAGTCTAACTCAAGGGCTTGTAAGCATTATAGGGAGCAATTTTCTTTTTCTTAAAATTTTTGTTCTATAACGAAGAAACTACATATCCAATTTGAATGTATGATGTTTTATCACGTCCATTAAATTATTAAGACTAAGATAATCTGCTTTTGCATGAATACTTAAGATTGTTTGCACAATCAAACTTATAACCTTTGATTTGAGTTATAAGTTTTCCTATTTACTACCTAGAAAAAATTAAACCAAAAAAAGGAACAAAAAATAAATAAATTCTTGGGTAAACCCTAGAACCGGACCAAAAAAATAGGGTAGGTTCCAAAACAGGGTCCAAGGCAAATAAGGTAGGTTCCAGGTTCTAAAAACTAGGAACCGGTTATAACAGGATCGGTTTCAGGTTCCAGGTCTGGAACCGATCACCTATCAAAGGTCATAAATCAGATTAGTTTGCACGCAGTTTGTGAGATTTGAACAGGTAATGTCCAGTTCTTAAGTTGAAAATCTCACAACGGCCCAACCAATTACATCGATCCGAAATTTCATGTCATCATTATCGTTCTTCATTAGTTTTTTTTTTTTACTTTATTAACATCTCAAGCAACGTTGTTTGGATCTTTTTTATTGACTATACGAGATAATTACTTTTAACGTGATATTTGGCATACTAAATCTCGCGTCTCCGAAACCTTAAATAGTATTGACCTGATGATAACCATTACAAGATTATATATGTGAAGCCGATCATTGGTGATTCCGAAATCTCCATAGACATATTACAAATCGCGCAAGCTTACAAATTCATAATATTTATTTAGCGTACCATTAGCGGAATTTGGTATATAAACGGAACGGTATGGATGACATCTGAAACGATTCGGCGGAAATTGGATTGAAGTGGAGCATCATGAAATGGTCGTTTGATCAAACCAGGACCATTTCGCATGTTTCCACGGGATCGAAGATTTTCCTCCTCGATGAATGGAAAATGCGAAGGTCCATGCAGCAAAGTCAAATGACCATGGTAAACTCCTTCGGATCGAAATAAGGTCTTTCTTTCTTTTTTCTTAACATTTGGGCGTGTGCTTCGGACTTCAGAAAGCCTTCAAGCTCTTATAAACAGTGAATGCAAATGAAAACATTTTGATTGGTACCGCGGGATAAATTAGCCCTGGTTTGTGTCGATAAGACTGTTCGAATGGAATCTCTAGGCCCGGCGTCAACCCCGAGAGAGGTCGCATCCTCCAAGAGGCTCGCCCACGCAACCTGACCGGCGTTCCTAGACAGGCATAGACCGGGAAAAGTGCCAAAAAAGTCCTAAACCTTTTGCATTGGTACCAATTTAGTCCTAAACCTTTTTTTTTGTGCCAATTCAGTCATAAACCTTTTGCATTTGTGCCAATTTAGTCCTAAACCTTTTTTTGATAACAATTTAGTTCTAAACCTTTTGCATTTGTGCCAATTCAGTCCTAAACCTTTTGTCTTTGTGACAATTCAGTCCTTCCGGTCAATTTTGGCCGGATTTTGCTGACATAGACGCCAACCGGCCGGCGGCCGGTCACCGGCGCTGACGTGAACAACTTTAATAATATTATAATATTTTTTTTGAATTTTTATTAATTTTTTTCTTTTTTTCTTTTCTTTTTTTTCTCTCCCCTCCCTCCAGCCGGTCGCTGGACCGGCGACCGGCCGGTGGCCAGAGGCCAGAGGCTAGCGCCGGCGAGGCTCGCCCACACCGGCCACTGGCGAGGGCAGCCTCGCGCTGGGCGAGGCCCGACCTCGCCAAATCAGACGAGGTCGTGCCTCGCCCAACCGCCAAATAGGCTCGACCTCGCCAGATCCGGCGAGTCCCGACCTCGCCAAATCCGGCGAGGTCAGGCCTCGCCCAGCCATGGTGAGGGTCGAGCCCTCGCCAGTGCCCTCCGGCAAGGGCTCGAGCCTCGCCATGGCTGGGCGAGGCCCGACCTCGCCGAATCTGGCGAGGTCAAGCCTCGACGGCGGCCGGGCGAGGCTCGCCTTCGCTGTCGCTTGCGAGGGCGAGCCTCGCCCAGCGTGAGGCCACCCTCACCAGTGGCCGGCGTGGGCGAGCCTCGCCGGCGCCGGCCTCTGGAGGGAGGGGAGAGAAAAAAAAAATTCAAAAAAATTCAAAAAAATATTAAAGTATTATTAAAGTTGTCCACGTCAGCGCCGGTGATCGGTCGGCGTCCATGTCAGCAAAATCCGGCCAAAATTGACCGGAAGAACTGAATTGGCACAAAGACAAAAGGTTTATGACTGAATTGGCACCAATGCAAAAGGTTTAGGACTAAATTGGCACCAAAAAAAGGTTTAGGACTAAATTGGCACCAATGCAAAAGATTTAGGACTGAATTGGCACAAAAAAAAAGGTTTAGGATTAAATTAGCACCAATGCAAAAGGTTTATGACTTTTTTGGCACTTTTCCCGGCATAGACCCCGACCTCAAAGGCCTAGGGACAGGGGCCAAACCCCCGGCTCAGTTCAATTGGGTCGGCTCAATCCGCCCACCAAAGGCATTTTAGCCCTCAAAGGACACCCAACGAGGGTAGATAAATGCCAGATCTTTAGAGGTGAGACGAATCTTCTATTCATACATTTCTCAAGAAACATTATGTCTCCCATAGTCTCTCTCGTTCGCACACCGCTTCGTCCTCCGTCTGTCCATTGACTTCAGTATTGGAGGGTCCTCTTGAGGCCAAGCCCAGGAGACTTCTTTAGCTTTGTGGTCTGCAGCTAGGTTTGATCCTTCGAAGTTCGAGCCAAGCCCAACGGTACCCAAAAGACTGAGCATCATCAACGTGGCCGTATGCTAGAATCGCGAGAAGGATGAGTGATGGCTCTCGAGCGCTAGATGGACATGAAGGCCAAATGCCATGGCTTGGCGAAATTGCGCATGAAGATGACCTTCAAGATTGATGAAACTCACTTTGATTATCAGAATTTATGAAGCTCAAACTCACATTTGGAATGGCTTCACAATAAAATAAATGAATAATGACACAAACAGTTCCTGAACTTTGGCCCAATGTATAATATGGTCCCCGAACTTTTAATTTGCTCAATATAGTCTCTGAACTTTAACCTATTATTCAATGTGGTTCTTGAAATTTTAATTTGTTAAATATGGATCATAAACTTTTGGTACATATTCAATGTAGTTCATGAAGTTGAATTAATGGAATGACTACATTAAATATTTTCAAATAGTTCATGGATTAAATTGAACATGTACCAAAAGTTAAGGGATGACATTGAACAAATTAAAAGCTCATGAACCACATTGCACATTGAGTTAAACTTCAAAGATCACATTGAATAAATTAAAAGTTTAGGGATTATAATGCATATTAGGTCAAAGTTCGAGAACTGTTTATGTAATTTTCCTAAAAAATATATATAATTAAAAAAAATGATCTCCATCTTGACTTTCGTGAAATACGAAAGGTTGACGTGGTACTCCACCAAAGATCGGCATATCAATTCAAGTCATGGCACGTGAACTATATCACATTAGCTTTGGTCGGGGTTCTATAAAGAAAAATTAATAAATAAAGTGATTCAACTTTTGCAGAAAGTCTACGGTCAATATGATTTGTAAAGTTTAGGGATAAAGATACCCCAGCTTCCATCGTACGGCACTTCTTTTTTATTTTTTTGGTCACTCGAGGTTTATAATTTCTTACGATATTTACTTAAATATCATAATTTTTTGAAAGAAGATTCACCACTAATATCGGAAATTCGATTTGGCATGACACACGTGAGGAACGTTTTACAACGTTATGGCACTTGAGTGAACAATCTTTTAAAGTCATGTCATTCAAGTGATCGAAAAAAATAGAGTTATAATACTTAAGTGAGTGTCGTACGAAAATTATGACATTTGTAGGATACTTATTCTTGATATACACATACTTCAGGTGTTAATTCTTATCGGCCAAGATAACCTCATCATGGTAGTGCAAATTTATATGATCGAGAAAGTATTTAAGAAGTAAAATAATGAAATACCTTTTATTTTTATTATTCAAGATCCAATTAAGAAGTAATTGAATCATTTCAATTCAGACAATCTTCGTAGACAAAGTACATGAGTACTGGTGCAGTGCTCTGTCTGGTAATCTCCAGAGCAACAAACAAACAAATCAATTTGGACATCATCAGCATTCACAAATCGATGGACACCTCCAATGGCCCGTCACCCTTGTCCACAACAATCGTCTTGCAAACCTTCTTGCACGCCGTGATGATCTCGACGTCGTACGTCCCGTAGAATCCCCGGAAGCCAAACTTGCACTCCTCTTCGACCAGCCCGTGAGCTCGAGACAGCCACTCCTTCTTGAGGCCGAGCAGCCTCTTGCCGGTCTCGTTCACTTCCCCTTCTGCATCGACCAAATGTGCGTTCTCTCGGCTCATGAACAGCTCCCAGAAGCCCCACAACATCACGCCCTCCACTGCGGGGTGCGCGAAGGCCTCTCGAAGCATGACCTCTAGATCGTCCGCCCTAACATACTCGTTGTTTGACGACACATCCAGCTCGGTGAACCAAATAGGCAGTCCAACCGCGGCTAACTTGTCCAGTGCAGAACAGACAATGGACCCAACAGGACTATCTATGTGCCCTTGGATTCCTATGCCCCCGACAGGCGCGTTTTGCTTCTGTAGATCGAGCACGTGCTGTGCATACTTCTCTGGCGACGACTTGGCATCCCCCCCGTCCTCCACGTGATAGTCATTGACGAATAGCTGAGCCGACGGGTCAAGCTGGTGCGCTGTACTAAACATGGTCGCCCGGATGCCCTTACCGAGCCTGTCCTGATAGAACGATCCGTGCAGCATCTCATTGTTCACATCGTAGTGCTGGAACCTTCCCTTGTACCGGGTCAAGAGCCCGGTCAGGCGGTTCTGGACCGCCTTCGTCAGGTCGTTACGGTTCAGGGCCCGGACCCATGGCTGGACTTGGCCTTCCACTTCCCAGAAGATGCAGTGTCCCCGGGTCTGCTTCCCGTTCTTGTCACAGAAGGCCAGCATTTCATCCGCGTCACGGTAGTTTAAGTTCCCTTGCTGCGGCTCGGTCCAGTACCACTTGAGCTCGTTCCCAAACACAGCCCAATTGAAGTGCTTCACGAAGAAGTCCACGAAATCCTCATTGTCCAAGTTCGTCCTGTTTATGCACGATCCGAGGGGGAAACTGTTGTCTCTCTGCTTGACGATCACGATGGCGCCGAGCAAGCCGCTCAATTCCGAGGCCGTGAAATTTAGGATCACGTCGCGCTTTCGAATCTGCACAAATGACAAAAGAAAGGCAATCTTGTTGTGTAATTCATTTAAAGCCTTCCCCTATCAAGTATTCTCTTATTTCAAACAAATGACGCAGAAGTAGTACTAGTACCATATCGATTTGCACATCCAAGCATCTAAATCTCGCGCATCGATCGACTGGAAATATCTGGAGCCCTGCGACCATCAAGTTAACATTTGGAGAGGGGCCTTGGATGTAAACCATGACCTTGGATGGTTGCTTCTCGAGCCTGAACGACCCGCCTATCTCATGCCATCCATCGTCACTGGCGTCGACTTGTCCCCCATTCACCCACTGGTCATCGACACTAAGAGCTACATTCACGATCTGAGGGCCAAAAGCTGTGGCGCCAACACGAACCCACGCAGATACTTGGTATGTCAAGTAGAGCTTGAGCTTATCTGTGATAATCTGGGCAGGGCCCATCCAAGTCTGCGTCCGACCGGTCACAAGGATGTAACGACCGCTCAGTGGCTTGTGAGGCCCAAGGGAACCTCTCGCCATTGGAGGGAGGACATGAGGCGAGCCTGTTTGAACACTCAAATTGCAGTTGCCAAGTGGGAACCACCCATTAGTATCATCATCTAGATTGCTGTTTGCTACGATGTTTACTCCAAACTCTGGATCCTGCAATAGAAGCGAGTAAATTATCTAAGCGTAGCTGAAGGATAACCAGGTATATCATTCAAGGCGCAACAATGTAAGACAAGAATCGGAAACCTACCTCAATGACGGGTGGAGGAGAAGGAGGGGGCTTCGCCGCATGCTTTACAAGGCAATAATTCACGAGAATGTCAGTGCCTGCGGGCGGACCTTCGAAATAGAGGATTATTTTGGAAGGAGAATTATTTATAAGGAATTTCCCACGCAATTGCACCCAATCCTTGTCAGTTGCCTGCACACTGGACATGTATATACACCTTTTAATGTCAGCAATGCAGATAATATGAATCTGGCATTGCCTATGTAGTCACAATCGGAGCAGGCTCGACAGAACAAAGAGGCACCTTACACACTGAAAAATGACAAATTTCTTCGTTTGGAGATCAAAATATCGAATGCAACAGATATCGAATATGATTGATAGAGTTAAACCATTCTCTAATGGAGGGAATGAGGTGTGTTAATTGTTTGGGGACAGCCAATGACAAGCATTCAGTTATGGTACTATGAATGTATGCAAGTACTAGGAATGGAGAGGAAAACTGACTTTGCTATGCTTAGGTACTGCTCGCGGAGATCCGGCAATTGAACATAAAGAGTGACCTGCACGGTACTAGTGGTGGCGTTTCTGCCATAAATCCTGACCAAGGCATTGACTTCATAGGCGCGCTTCCTTCGCGCTCTTCCCGTAATATCCTGCTGAATCCCGTTCCAGCTCTGAGTTCGGCTTGTCGCGGCGGCAAAGTACTTTCCAGACTGCGGGAAGACCTTCCCATCGATCGAATCGTGCAAGGCAATCTTGCAGCCTCGTTCGGCCCAATTGCTCAACCCGTCCTCGAATCTGGGATTCAAGATGATGTTCTCATCCCCGGAGCTCATTTTCTTTCAAAATTGAAAGAGTAAGTATCAGTTGCATATTATCAACATTCGATGAGCTAATGTGTTCACTTCCCCGGAGGAATTGCATGCGTTTACCGAAACGATTTTCAAGTAGCTAAGAATCACGGAATGATAGAAAAATGAATAGTAAGTCCATGAACATGTAAGCCTTAGCTCAACTGGTCCATTCAACATATGCAATCCACTTCGCGCGAGATTTTAACGAAGCCAAAGCTCAACCTCGGCATGAACTCATCTACACTAACGGAGCAAGCTTCGAACCAGACTTAAAGAGGTCGAGAATGATATTCAAGTCTTCCACTAGCCACAGGAAAGAGAGCTTCTTGCCCAAACCCATTGAAACAGGATGATGCAGAAGATGATGACAGAAGAAGCCATCTCGAACTCATCACATGAATGGAGGTTTTGGATGATTCATCCATAATCTTTCTACGAGCAAAAGTGGGCAAAAAGACGAGCATTGTGTGCAGAAGAAAGACGTGCGACTTTTGTTCATTCACGTACCTGAGGAGAACTTTGTGATTCTTGATGGGTCTTTCGAAAATCCGAACCGCTGTGAAGCAGCAAACCGTCGTTCTTCCTCGTTTTATAAGCCCACGCTCTGGTTCGATGTCCGAGCAGCCTCCCACAAAAGCTGGACCGACCAGCGTATTCACCAAGCAACCTATTTTCTTGGCTCCTTCAAGATAAAAAAGAAATGTCTCTTCTTCTTCTGCTTCTTCCATGTCTTGCTTTATCTTGCAGACTCGTAATCAGATGCTTCAATTAGAAAAGAAGGAACCGTGAAGTTTCCGGTACGTAGGCGGGCATCCCGCTATTGTTATCACAGATGCTTCTTGCTTCAGCCACTGATTTAGAGCAAACTCCTCTCTGACTCTGAGGTTTTGGTGGAGATTAGCTTTCAGCAACAGCAAAGACTTGGTGGAGATTAATTTGCCATTTCGACATAGGAAGTTCTTGAGTTCATGGTCCTTGTGCGCATAAGTTTCAAACAAAAAAAAGGGACTAATCCCCTTAAAAAAAACCCTGATCTAATTTTTAATGTTGCCTCGAACTTTCTTTTTGTCTGCTGACACTAAAATTTAGCTATTCATTTAGACATTAGGGACCGGACTCAAACAAAAATTTCAATATTGCATGGTCTTGCATTTTTGCATTTAGAAATTTGGAACATTTTTTAGAATAGAGTGTCCATATAAAGCATCGACTTGTGGCGAGATTACAAACTTTGGAAGCTTAAGCCCTTTCTGCAAACAATTGTCCGGGCTCGAGAACGAGGTCGCACTCGTGATCGAATGTTTAATCAAAGGTCTCTCCTCATGGATGAAGTGAATTACAATGGATGATCAAAAGCGTAAAAGAGGGATAGCTACAGATCTTCGAGCATGACCACACCGTCAGTGTTGTTATCTTGAAGAACTAGCAAAAGAAAAAGTCTGCTGGGGGAGATGGACATCCGGTGTTCAAAAGAAAAAGAAAGCATGTGTCAGACAAAAGGAAAACAAAGGGCAGAGGCAATATTTTTTTTTTTTTTTGGTCGAAAACAAGATCATTTCATTTCATCATGATAAGCTTCAGCACATACAAGATTCCAAAGGGTTGCGGGAGGATTAAAGACCCAATTATAGGGTAAAGATTTGCACTTTTGAGTCTTAACAATCCAGTCTGCCACCTGATTTTGGGCAGAGGCAATATTTGTTCAGCTACAAATAAGGTATTCTCGCTGGAGCACGGAGATATGGCCACATATTGTCAATTTTCGCGGCTGAAGAGAAGACATTGGCACAGCCAGCACACCATCATAAATGACTATGTCTCCAGCAAGATGTCAGCGGAAAAAGGGTAGAGAAATTCAGAGCAAAGGCAGAAATCAGGGTTGTCACACTAAGAAGATTCAATCAAGATTCATAACCATGCCTTCCGTGGATGCGGGCAATTCATTAACTCTGCGGCGGCGATTTGTGGATTGGATCGCTTGGTCACAGCAAAGAAGATCGTCGTTCTTAAATGCTCAGATTTGGAGAGAGATCCATCTAGGAACAAAGAAACGACTTCAGACTTCTTCACAAGGATGTCTATATATACACAGGCCATGAAGAAAAAACAAAAAAACGAGAGGAACGAGAGTAAAAAAAGAAGGAAACTTTCACTTCATTTTTATTTTGCTGGAAAAAGTTTTTAAAACGGTAGGATTCTCTGCATCTCGATGTTCTTGAGGTAGGAGAAGTGAGTCTTTGTTTCCGCCGGTTCAGGATCGGTTGAGTTTGAAACTGAACATTCCAATGACCTCTATTTCACTTCGTCGTGTTCATGCTCACATTATTATCAGTGTCTTTGTTGGTATGTCTGTTTAATCTCCCATTAAAAGGTAGTAATAACCTTTAGTTTTTACCTATATGCATTTAGTAGCTCTCCCAGTCGTTTTCATGCTCCTGAATTCATTGTTTACTGTTGTCCGTTCACTGGTTCACTTCGAAGGCCTGCTGGTCATGACGTATTGGGTTTCATATATGGAGATTCTAGCTTTGTTACTGTGTTACTTTGATCACCCATGGTGATGCATAATTTGGGTGTGAATTCCACGACGATTTGGTTTCGTTTTGGCATGTCTATAAGACGCGCGGTGATGTTGATCCTTGCTGTTCGCGCCCATTCCATGCTTAAACCATCAACATTTGACTGTATCTACATTTTTTTTTTATAACTTGAACATGAAATTTCATATAGGAGAGCGTCGTAACGCTAGCTGCGTTCGTTTCTAGTCAGACCGTCACCTTTCGAGATTGTAAACATGTTGAATATGATAGAGAGGCTTCCTGTCCAGATTTGACTTCTGATCCTAGTGAGAAATATTCAGCATGTTTTGCACGTCACCTAGGAACAAACCACGATTGATTCGCAATAATTCCTCATCCAGTTCTCGCATGTACGTGTCCTATATTTGCCGGATATGGACGAATAGCGTGCTGTCCAGGTTCGATGTGAACCGAGTTGAAGATTATTTGGTGTCATCTACACGTAATTTGGGTCACCTAAGCGGATACATTCATGCGGGAAAGCATCACAAAAAATCCATGTTCACCTCTCGCTAAATCGACGAATCTTCATGCCGTGGTATACATGGATTCCGATCCCCTACTTTCTGGTTGTCCCTCTCTGAGTTCGAATATTAACGATTCCAGTCCTGTGCAGGCATTATTTTGATTGTTCATGACAAGGAATTAAGTTGTAAATGAGTCTCCAGCCATAGCTTGAATGCTTTGCGTCACACGGGGGCCTGATTATGTTCTCCCGGGATAGAAAGGAAAAAAAAAATCAATAAATAGAAAAAGTAAAAAAAATTAGCTTCTTAGTGGTAGGGTAGCATTCAATGTGGTTCAAGTTCATGCTCAGTTTACCATGTAGTTTGCATGTTTAGTTTGGCACTAATGTTGATCCACGCTATTTACATTATGAATGAAAAATGATAAAAAAAAAAAGAAAGGATTTGCATTTAGCGTAAAATCATGCTCTTAGGCACGTGCATTTTATAATTAGTGATATCTCTTCTTGTTGTTAGGATTCCATTTTATGTTAATTTAGAAGATAAAAAAAAAGATTAGCGGTATTTTGTAATAGTGAATAGCGCGTGTATGGTTGGATTAGTCGACCATTTTAGCATAACACACACACGTCATGGTTACCATTTATTTCTTTAGAAAATATGCATAGTTAAATTTGAAAGCGAGTTTAATTTTGGACATCACTCACGGGGTCCCGTCTTGAGGTGTAACAACAAGGCCATGTAGTATTCTCTACTCGACTCGCATCGAGTTTTCCTTTTCCACATTTACTTTTTCAAGTCATTTCAACTTCTTGGTTGTTTACTTACCGCACTCTTTTCAATAAATTGAGTGTTAATTTTTTTCGTAGATTAGGTTAGGACTAGTCTAGATATTGGAGAAAATAACCCTACAAAACATTTCCATTGACACTTAGCGGCTTTGATACCTTAGGACTATAATTGGTGATCAAGATCGTATGGCCACTTAGATAATACACTTTCAAGCTAAGTACTGAAAGATCGCTATTAGAAATGTTAGCATAAACAAGTCTGCAATCTTAGAATCTCTGGTAGCGTAGGAATCGAGACAACACTCCCGCGTCTTGATGAGTTTCTAATCGACCCCAATAAGCAAGTGGCGACTCATGAAGTTACTTAAGTTGTTAAAGAGTTTAAAACGAAATCCAACATTGCGCGGGGTATGGACTTGGGAGAGTTCGCGCCCAGATCGTTAGGCCATTGGCTTGCTTTTTGGGCAATACCGCCTAAACCCGTTCCTTTTTCCCTCGACAGAAAGAGAGCGTCGCGACATTGTCTAAAAGAAAATCCCAACTGTAGGTTTAGTCCAAATATGCCACGAATTATTTTTTTATTATAGGGCCAATCCAAATCTGCATCGAACATTTTTTTGTCTAAAAAAAACTTAATTTAAGCTCGATCTCAAATCTATCCCGAACTATTCCAAATCTGCCCCCATTAGCCTTCCGTTTAAATATAATTATGAGTCACCCTTAATTTTACTAATATTCATATCAAAGAACGGTTTCGTTTTAGAAATAATTTTCGACATCACCTTTGCTAATATGGATAGTTTTCGATATCACATTGCTAATGTAAATTTCTTACTAAACGTGGAAATGCCAAGTCAAACTACTAATGGCGAAGGGTTAGTGAGGGCAGATTCGAGGCTAAGTTGAAAGTTGTTGATTTTTTTTGGCAAAAAAATTTCGGGTTAGATTTGATACTAGAGTTAAAGTTAGCTAGTTTTTTTTAAACAAAAAAAGTCTATGGCAGATTTGAGATTAAATCTAAAGTATGAGGATTTTCTTTAAGATAAAAAGAAGTTCAGCGCAAAATTAGACTGAAGCTAAAGTTGAAGAGTTTTCTAGGAAAGGTTCAAGTTAGATTTCGAGTAAATCTTCCGAGTTATCCCTTGTCAGATGACTTGGTGCGTCTACCTTGGACCTTAACACTGGATGTCTATCCATCTAGTACCTTGTACCTTAAAATATTATGTCTATCCATCTTAGTTTGCACAAGGCGAATTTCGTTTATCGTTATTAATGATCTCTGAGAAACATCTTGTGAGAAGGCCTAAATTTCTCTTGGGGGCCCTCCTCGCTAGCTTTGTTGTCTCCATTCAATCATATTAGCTCGATCAAACTCGAAATCTCATAAGAGAAGAAAACCTTAGCCCTACCTAAGAAGTGCAACGACTTCATCAGCTTGAAAACGAGCGAGATCGATGATTGAAGGCTTCAGAGAGCATCGTTGGCCAGTGAGGTGTGAGCAATTCCTCTTCGAGCCCTTGTGAATCAACAAACAAAGCAAGCAAGTTGAGGGCAAACAGTTGGAGTCTCGAATAGGCTAGTAAATCGACATAGAATACAATCAACCATTGAAGAATGGTACCTTTTAAATTTGTTGATCGCCCAATATTTATCTACATTATCACTTGTCCTCCCAACTCCTTGGTGCAACAATTTTTCTCTTTACACCCTAAGGCCTAAGGTACAAACCCACACGTCAACAATTGGCGTATCGTGTGAGAACATTCCGAAATTATTGTGTCATTGGGGTACACAAACTTATGATCCTCACAATAATGCAACTAGAAGATTTGAAGGGAAAATTATCCAAAAATACCTAAAATTATTATACAGCTGCCAATTTCATCCTAAATATTTTAATAATGCCAATTTAGTCATAAATTTTTTGATAATTTACCAATATAATCCTTTTGACTGGAAATTGTTGATATGGCGTTCAGTCAATGCCAATCATCTTATGTGACATGACTTGCACTAATGTGAATAATTTTTACATTTTGTTTTAATTTTTTTGAACTCTTATTTTTCTTTTTTTCCCTTTTCTTTTCCTTTCACCTGTGGCGATGCTTAGCAATGGCCGACAACTGATCACCATTTGCCCAAATCTGACCAATGGCCACGCCACCCTTGCCAAATCTAGGCGAGGGCGTCGCGGCCCTCGCCGACCACATCTCATGTAGGCGAGGGTCCCTAAAAAGGAGAATACAAAGAAAGGAAAAAAGAAGAAGAAAATTTAGAAAATTTCCAAAAAATCATCTTGGTAATGTCACGAAAGATAACTGACGTCCACACTAGCGATTGCTGCCAAAATTTGCTGAAATGACTAAATTGGCGAATCATTAAAATGTTTACAGTAATAGGTCTAGGATTTTTCGGACAATTTTCCAAGATTTGAACATGGCCGGTGGGGGCTCACTGCGTTTTCTTCCATGAACAGTTTCCTGTCGACGTTGGATGGAGAGAGGGGGACGACTCTAGGTCCCAAAGAAACCTCCAGGAACTGGGGTGCCATGACTTCTAGCTCCGCCTCTTTTTCCAAGGTCTACACCAGGCCTGAGATGATGGATGGATCATAGGGTTGAACAATACAAGGGCGGGCGGAGCACCTTCCAGCGACCTTCCGTCCGGCCTCACATGCCTTGACCACATGTGCAAACGCGGTACGCCGAGGCTTCCATGGATGATGCCGCGTTGAATTTCCGCCTCGTCCTCTTGATTCATTTGAGTGTTTTTTGGTTTTTCTTTTCTTTTGATCGAATCCGATGTTTGTGGTGCTCGTGCTAGCAAAAGATCAGGAGAAAGCGAGGTGACGATTTCGACTTTCACGGTGAAATCGATCTTGGACGAAAGCCCGCGCCGTTCACCGGCGAAAGCCGATTCCCACTTGATCTCCGTGCGCATTTGAACCCCTTTTCGTGTCGATCGCCGACACCCTTTTGCGAGTTGGATCGCGCGGTGGTTCATCTTCGCAAAAAGATTCAAACTTTCGGATTGGTCGTACGCCAAAATCTTGGGATGAATTCCCTGAAAAACCTCAAAATTTTAGCTCAAGTCTCAAATCTATCGCGAACTTTTTTTTGTCTAAGAAAAAACCCTAAATTTTAGGTCCAATCTCAAATCGCCCGAACTTTTTTGTCTAGGGAAAAACCCTAAACTTTAAATTCTCCAATCTTCTCGAATTTTGTTTTATGTCAAAAAATTAGTAAATTTCCAATTTATTTTTAAAAAATATTGTTGATCCAATCCTCAAACTGTCTTCAGGACTTCCACGTCGAAGCAAATCTTCATCGGCCAGAATGGTCGTGCGATAAATACAAACCGATGTCGCATTTCCACTTTGACAACAAATCAAACCAAATAAAAATTGTTGAAATTTTCCCAAAAAAAAAACCATTTTAGGATATGATTATTAGGACGATAACAAATCCACACCAAAACTTTTTTAATTTTAAAAAAAAACCTAACTTTTAGGTTCGTCCAAATTTGGCCCGAACTTTTTTTATCTAAAAAAGGGTAGGATAATTTTTTTTTAATAAAAAAGAAAATTTTAAAATCCTTTGCACAATAAATTTATCAAACACTACTTTGATGAAAATAGCTTCATAAATAATTTTTTACCGGATACTATTTACATTTCATCGATGGGCTTTTAACATAATGGTATTTGTATTTTCTAAGAGTCATTTTCAAAGTTGAACCAGAAGGACCCAAAATCTTGTCCGTTACGCACCCTCGTTCCGTCCTGCTTGCCCCCACGACCTTTTACCCCGCAGCGTTGATGCGACGGGGGGGCCAATCACGGCGGCGCGCGAGGGGAAATCTTGTCCGTTTCGCACCCTCTTTCCGTCCTGTTTCCCCCCACTACCTTGTCCGAGCTTTTTCTGACGAACGACAGTGATCCGGAATCAACTGGGGCGTTGACGACCTGCAACAGTCTTTCTCCTCTCTCTCTCTCTCTCTCTCTCTCAAAATAATCGAGAGTTGGCGCGACTCTCGGAGGCCCTGGTCATGGCGACTTCATCGGAGGTCGAGGGCAAGCGTGAGGCCCCGGACGGAGCGGGAAATGGGGGATCCGGGGCCGTCGGGGACCGGACGGTCGGCCCGACGGGGAAGCCGGAGCCGGAGACTCGGAAGAAGAAGAAGAAGAAGACGACGACGAGGAAGAAGAAGAAGAAGGCGAAGAGGAAGTCGTACTTGCCCAGGTTCGCGTGCATGAGATCGGAGCCGGACGAGGATGGCGGCTTGGACGTGGAGGCCAAGGTCCCCGGAGAGCGTCCCGCTCCTGTTCACCTGATCGTCATGGTTAACGGCCTCATTGGCAGGTGAATTTGCGCCGGCCGCGGCGTTTGAACGCCACAGTTGAATTCTCCATTGAAATGCTTCTGGGTCGTTCCTGAATCTTGCGTCCTTGTTAATTACTTGTTACTGGCGTTTTCGCCCTTCTTCTTTTTTTCTGGGTACTTCTTTTGGGTGCAGCGCTCGGGATTGGAGATTCGCTGAGAAGCAGTTTGTGAAGAAGTATCCGGAGAAAGTCCATGTTCACCGTGAGTTCTCGGTTTCGAATCTTGTACATGATGACTCTGAGATGCTTTTAACTGCTTAGGTAAGTTCTTGCAAATTGAGGATGAGAATTGAAGGACAGGCCACAAGAAACGAGTTTCTGCAGCTAAAGCTACTGAAGGGGATGTTAAAATTCTAGAAATGTAAAGAGCTAGAATATTATATGTATGTGGGTAACATACTGTGGAGTGAGTACATGACATCCTGGATTAGTTTTTCGCTTTTGATCGCTTGCATTTGAAAATGTTGAGAAACTACTGTTAGATGCACTTCAATCCTTTCAATACGTTTCCCCTGTGAGCTGGCAGTTTCATCTTGATCGGGCAAACTAGCGTCCGCTTATCCTCCGGTGATTCCATTCTCCACAAGCACAGCACGTGGCATAAGCTTTGTTTTGTATTTTTGCCCCTAGGTATGCTCCGGTAGATCTTATTACTGCGTCGCTTAGTAGCCAAAGATGACTTTTTGCCAGGAGGAGAACTCATGAGGAATGGTGGAAAAAGACTATAGATGATCACTCTGGTTTCATGGCATTTCTTCCGTATATGATAAGTGAGTATAGCTGATAAAAGGGTTTGACTACATGTTAACCGTTGCTTTCCGTGATACATAAAGGATGAGGAACATCTTAAAAATGAGCAAACTTACCTCCACTGAGATCATGACGCATCACTTAAAAAGAAATGGATCATTGAGATGCAAGTCTCAACAATCCTTCAGTTCTCGTTTGGGTGGATGGTCATGAGCATAGCGCGACTAGTCTGAAACCTCTTCAAAGGATCCCAGTCCTTGAATAAGTTGTATTGGTTTAATGCAGGTCGATCAATATTACAACTTGGAAGATCCATTGTTCATGGAACACTTTGGCATGCCTGGAGTCCTTTTCTCTTGGCAAAATTTTACCCTTAAGCTGTTTTTTTTTCCCATTTATGATCCACTATAGCTTTTGTAAAGAGGTTTGACATGTAGTTGGACCCCATGTACTAGATTATGCTAATTTGACCGTGATATGACCGAGCTGCATATAATGTGCAATGCAGGCAGCCAGTCTAACCCTTGTAGGTTGACATTTGATGGTGTTGATGTTATGGGGCAGAGATTAGCAGAAGAGGTGCGTTATATTGCCTGGGAGCCACTTTTTTCTCAAGGAATGGGAATTTCCTCTGTATTTCCTCCGTATATCAGTCATGCCTTGAATCTGCCTATCTTTAAGGCTTCCAAAGTTAAGAAAATTTGAAGAGCATCTTGTTTCTTTCAGGTTAAGTCAGTTATAAAGCGTAACTCCACCTTTCGGAAAATTTCATTCATTGGCCATTCACTAGGTGGTCTGGTAGCAAGGTATGCAGTTGCAAAGCTTTATGGAAGTGGTCCAGCCAGTGAACCTACTAAAGTAAATGGAGAATGTGAGAGTGAAGAACCTGGAAATCATCACCTAGAAGATAAAAATACAGATAAAATCTGCGGACTGGAACCTGTGAATTTTATAACTTCAGCAACACCTCATTTAGGTTCAAGAGGTCACAAGCAGGTTATCACTCATTCTAGTCTGTCTTCTTCTTCAGTTTGATGTTCTTAAGGATAAATTTATATAGATATTATAAGTTACTTCCATGATCTTTGACGGCTTAGGTCCTTGGATATAACCTTTTAAAGTTAGTCTATCTGCTTAGGTGCTTTTTCAGGATGTTTAGATTTGGCCTGGTTCTATAGGACATACGCGCATGTGCCTAGTCATGTTTATTACCTCGAAATTACAGTTCCTTTTTTGTCGTTCCTGGACATGACAGATTTTTTTTCAGGTCCCAATGTTTTGTGGCTTTATCTCCTTGGAAAACCTTGCTGTCCATGCATCAGGGTTCTTAGGCAGGACTGGTAGACATTTGTTTTTGACAGACGGTGATAGCAAACCTCCTCTTCTTCTTCAAATGGTCAATGACAGTGAAGATATTAAATTTATGTGGGTTTTCATCGATTTCACATTCTCTGTCTTTCAAATGTTTGAGTGCTTATGGTGTCACTTTTGTTGTCTTTGAAATGTTTGAGTGCTTAAGGTGTGTATTTTTATGTCTTCAGCTCTGCTTTGAAGTCCTTCAAGCGTAGGGTTGCTTATGCAAATGCACAATGTGACCGTATCCTCTTGGTATATTCAAATTATTCCTGTTGTGTCGTTCTTATAATCCAACCAGGCGTAGGCCTCCATTATTTGCTGATACTTAGATCATAACATATTTACAAACTTTTTTCTAGGACATTCAGTAGTTGGTGGATTGGATATGACATTACTGCTCCATTTGTTATCATCCTTTTCCTTTGTTTAACTTGACATTTCTCGTAGACCTAGTTGGATGGAGTACATCATCGCTTAGGCACTGGAACGATCTTCCTAAGGTAATCTGAATTTGTTGAATCCTTTCGGATAGCATCTCTAGATAATCACATTTGAGCTGCTCTCTTTTGCCAGCGTGAACGTAGTTTAACAATAGATAAAAGTTACCCACATATTATAAGAGTGGAAGGAGCAAAAGCAACCTCGTCCGAGCAAGAAGAATCTTCAGAACATAAAACTGATAGGAGAAACACTGCTGACTTGGAAGGTTCGCACTTCTTCTTATGTAGTTGCCAGTGACACTTATTGTTATCTTGCCCTGAATATGAGAGAGCTTCGATATTTCCTTCTGAAGATAGGAGGCATTTGTTTTGAGAGTGCTTATCTGAACACATAAAAAAAATACTTTTTCTTTATTTTTTCGATCAAATATTTGATTATTTGGAAACCTAGAAATTGAGGTTAAGCGTTTCATACTTTCTTATGTTGCCAAGAATTACTATTGAAACGATGATTTTTGTCATCTGTGCTTGTTACCCATTTTGTTATGCTTTCGATTGTTGATTTTCCACTGAATAATTGCAGAGATGATGCTGAGAAGATTAACTAGATTGAGCTGGGAACGTGTAGACGTAAGCTTCAGCGGAAGTAAACAGCGAATTTTTGCTCACAGTACCATTCAGGCCAGTACATAACACATTTATATACTTCAGAAAGTATGATCGGAATCACGCTCACAGCTTAAAAATTAAGTGATTCCAAAATGCATTAAGGTTTAGTAAATAGTCATGTGCTTCTTTGGCGATGTGTGATTGCGAGAGTTCGCTGTGGTTGACACTCTTTCTCCTTGATATCCAGGTAAAAACCCAGTGCATCAATTCAGATGGTAGAGACGTGATCCAGCACATGATTGACAACTTTAGTTTATGAGCGAATACACGGTTCGGCTATTTATATGCGGATGAAATAGCTCCTTGCAAGAACCGCCGGAAGGAATTCTAAATTGATCTCATGGAAATGTCTCCGAAGTCCTTGGCAAATTGGAATATTTTGGTGCAATTTATTAAGTAGGTAAGGATTGCATTTTGTATGGGAGTCACCTTGACGTCCGATATGTCCTCTTGGGATGATGTCACGTCACCCAAGATATTGGACAGCTAAGATCGGCCAAGTTAGGACTTTCTTTCTCTACTCATTACCCAACATCTAAATAGAGATGGTGTAAGATCTTTTCTAAAGGATTTAAGCAAAGATTAACAAAAGAATCCTGAAAGCTGATTCAACCATTGAAACCCTTGGAGAAAATAGCGGATACCAGTTTACGGTTTCATATGGTTCGCCATCACCTCCATCACCTTCATCATTTACATCATCTCCATCCCCTCCAGTTTCACCTTCAAATAAAAAATCTGTTATTTTCCCTTTTTACAAACCAATCTAAAAGTGGGTAAAGAAGAATTATTATTCACTTAAAATCCCAGTCCTTGAAAACCCAATATATTTTCATGTTCAATGAAGTTAATTTTCCTCCTCTAAATCCTGTTGAAAGTTCTCAACTTTTTTTTCCTACTACTGAGGAATTTACTGATCCAAAGTCAAGATATCTTCATGCTCTAAAAATTCCTTCTCCTACGGATGTAGATGAACATGGAAGGCCAAAAAGAACACATGTTGCTGAGACTGTTCTAAATTGATAATCGGAAACTTTTCCGGCACAAAATCAGGCTTTCAAGATGATTGACTTTAAAATTGTTGATGTGCAACAAAAAATCCAAAGATACGATGAGTCTATCAAAAAGATGCTTGTGAATTTCCAGAAAATACTTCATGCTCTGGAATCAGGACGGCATCTTGGATACTATTATCTGGAAAGTTTGAAAAATGAAATGGAGAAACTCAAAAAGCAAATAAGTCTCTTTGAAGAAGGAAAATTTAAGCCTACTGATTTTTTCTCTATTCCGAGAATATGATACTCTCCTCCACCATCGCAAAACTCTTCAGTTTTTGCTGCAGCTGCTCTTGCAGTAGAAACTTCTACCTGACGAGATAGAAGTGATATAACAGAAATGCGAAATCGCATTCGGGAAATGGAAAAGCTCCAAAAGGAAAGAATGAAGGAAAAAGCAAAACCTATTGTTGAGTCCTCTAAAGAACCTGAAAAAAATTATGACCAGCAGATGATGATCTCAAACCCCTTGGAATCTTTTCTAAGGGATTTAAACAAAGATCAACATAAGAATCCAGATGCTAATTTAGAACAACATCCACAAGAGTGCACTTCTCAAGAAGTAGCAAAGGTATCAAATTTGCTAAATTCAGATTCAGAATCCGACTCTTTATTCTCTTCTTCTTCCTCTACTTTTCCAATTTCTTTCATTGAATCTTTCCACATACCACTAACTACTCCTCCAATTTTCATGGCTGATCCACCAGAACAAGACATGGAACCAAATTCATCTGAATCAGAGGCTATTCAAATCGATAACCCATCTCATATTTCTGTTTACCCATCCAAACAGTTTTTCACTCTTGATGACACTTCTTATTCCAAATGACCAGAAAAATTGGATGAATTCCATGCTTGGTTGAACACCAGAGCTTTTGTTGTTGAAAGCAAATATGATGTTCTTTTAGAATTTGCCACGAGGTTTACTGGAAGCCTTAAACATTGGTGGCAAGCAACTTCTGAGACAGATCAAATGACTTTTCTTCTTCTGCAAGACTTTTCCCAAGCCATTAGAACAATTTACCTATATTTCATAGGAAAACCTGTTGATCTTTTTGAACTCAAAAGAAGAGAATACTTTGAAAGAAAATGTTGTTCTCTTCAGAAAAAGCACCTAGATCGCCATTACAGAGAAATGATTAAACTCTTTTATGGCTCAGGAGCTGATCCGAATTTGAAATAAGCCTTCTTAGCTTCCATTCCTAAAGAACTCTCCCAACAAGTTGAGCGATTTTTTTCTCAACAAGCAAAGAAGAATTGATGATATCCCCTTTGGAGAGCTACAACAAGAAATTCATCTTTGTCTTAATGAACTTTGCCTCCGAAGATAGATGATGAAAAATTACATCAGAGACAATCGTGAACTTGATGGTGCTTGCTCCAAACAATATTTGAAGATCAAGTGTTCAAAGAAAGATTGTGACGGTTCCTGCGAAGAATATTCGAAGAAAAACAAACACTTCGAGAAGTATCAAGTAAAAAGATCTAAGCACTTCAGAAGAAAGAAGAAATGGCGATTCCTGCGGAAACGAAGAAACTTCACAGGACGCAAGAAACCAAACCGTTGCTTCATTTGCAACAAGAAGGGCCACTTTGCCAAAAATTGTCCTCAGGCAAAAAAAGGTCAGAATCATTTCATTCATAATATCAAACTAGAGACAGGAATCTCTCTTGACAATGACAATATCGAATCCCTATTCTCTGTAGATGAAAATCCCACTTACCAAACACTTTGCATCATTCCTTATTATTTCACCTCCAGTGAAACAGACTCTGATTCAGAACCCGAAGAACTTTTCCATCTATCTTCACAGCCTGAAAATCTAGACCCCAGTATACATTCCAGTCAACTTCATTGTCCTCACTTCCCAGTCAAAATCTATCTCTCAAAGTTTGCCAAACCAATTTCAGTCATTGCCCTCATAGATACTGGTGCTAGTGCTTCAATTCTAGACACTAAAGTTCTTTATGAAGAATACTGGACTTCCTGTCTTCGGTATTTCAACTCTGCTTCAGGAGATACTTTTTCTATAAGTATTTGCACCACACCTGTGTCTATTCAATTTTTCCCTCATGCTCCATTACCACTAGAATTCTTGGATCTAGTCTTCTCAATAAAGACTTGATTGTTGGGTGGGATATTATGACTCAACTTCCAGACTTGAGAATTGTTCCTAGAAAAGGATTTAGGTATAAAGACCAATTCTCTAAATTCATCAATATCCAAAGACTTTTTTCCATCCAAGTGAGTCTATTAGATCCAATCATGCATAAATTGTTGGAATCATACTTAGAAAATCATTTCGAATTCTCTCAGAAATATTCTCATCCTTTGCGGAAAAACCCAGAATTCTATGTTTGGCTCCCCTTCAAGAAAAATGAGGATATAAATCCTACTAAGGCAAGTCACTCGGGAATGAATCCAGAGCATTTGGCTCTTGCTCAAAAAGAATGCTTAGAATTGTTACAACAAGGCCTTATTGAAACTTCAAATTCTCGATGAGCTTGTGAAGCTTTCTATGTCAATAAACGTGCCGAGCAAATAGAGATAAGATGAGATTGATTATCAACTACCAGCCCATATTTATTCATAGTTTGATCTTAAAGTCCAGATTGGTTATCATCTTTTCCTCCAAGATGACAAATTCCCTTTGCCTTCTCGATTGCGGGAATCACTAAAAGCCCATATTTATTCATAGTTTGATGTTAAAGTCGGATTTTGGCAATTGGGCATTCATCTTGATGACAGACCAAAAACGGAATTCTGTATCCCAAACCAACATTTCCAATGGAGAGTTCTTCCATTTGGTCTCAAGGTTGCTCCTTCCTTATTCCAAAAGGCTATGTGTCATATTCCAGCCGATCTTGTCTAGTGCTATTGTCTATATTGACGACATATTACTCTATAGCCCAGACGAAGAATCTCACTACCGACTTCTTGAGCAGTTTGCAGAAATTGTGAAGAAATATGACATCATGCTTTCCCAGAAAAAGATTATCATTGCCCAAAGAGAAGTTGAATTCCTAGGCATGCACCTTAACAAAGGTACATATTATCCAGGGCCGCATATCGCCAAGGAATTACTAAAATTTCCTGGAAAAGATTTTACAACCCAGCAAGTTCAACAATTTCTCAAGATAATCAATTATCTTCGAGATTTTGTCCCAAATATTGCAAGGTTGTTAATTCCTTTGCAACTGATGTTAAAAAAACATCTGGTGCCATGGGGAAAGGCACAAACCAGAGCAGGTGAGAAACTCAAAGAAATTATGCAAGATCTTCTCCCTCTGCAAATCCCATTTATAGAGAAGAGAATTTTGCAGACTAATGTCAGTGATGAATATTGGGCGACCATATTGTTCGAAGAACTTCATGGTAAGCGACATCTTTGCGCTTACAAAAGTGGCAAGTTTTCTCGGGCAGAAATGCAGCTCGGCCAGTTAAGCATAACATCATCCTGGTAACTCTGAGCGTCTCTATGCTCTGAACTAAATCTCCGGGTAATTTTGCAGCTAAAAGGCAGTCCCTAAAGGGCTTGAACAAGAGGTCCACTCGTGCGAGATAGCATACCTATTGCAAACTGACCTTGTTTTCCCTGGCTCTCAGCATAGATCCCCTCATTAGTATAAATGCCGTGCGTGCAATTGTGTTTTAACTTATTGCTGAGCAAGGGATCCACACCCGCAAAAATGCATTACATGGCATTTTATTTAAAGGTTAACGTTATGAAAAATTCCAAACTGGTATATTTGTGACAAATTTATTCTAAACTAATTTTTTGAACACAAAAGATCTCAAATTGACAAATATACCTCAAGCTAATTTTTTGATAACCAAACACCCCAAACTGGTACATTTGTAACAAATTTATCCTCCGTTAAATTAGATTACTATTACGAAAAATCACAAATTTGTATATATGTGATAAATAAAGGGTAAAACTACAAACAAGTACTCTCGTTAATTATCATATGTCATCTAGCTCAGCAATTTAATAGTAAAATTTAATGAAAATTAATGGAGGGTAAATTTGTCATGGCTCAATGTGGGCATCCGTTAAATAAAGAGTTAATACCACCAAAAATTTATCATGTGTATTTATTTAACGGATGCCCACGTTGAGCAAAAAATTTATATAGTTGACATACTTGAATAAATGAAAAAGAAAGTTCAAGTACTTAATAGTAAGACCGATGAAAGTCCAAATACTTGTGGTGTTATTACCCATAAATCATATTTGGTGCAAGTCAGAAGTGAATGAGAAGAAATCAACCAGAACGTTTTATAACTCAGCAGGTATCCAAATCCATCTTTGTCTGATCCTGTTTTAATGCGTGATTATGTTCGCTTCATAATGTGCAGAAGCAACGGATTGTAAACATGCTTTTCTAGAAATTCGTAACAGAGGCAGGACACCACTAACCAGAAGTCCAGCCATCACAAATTCATACACACCACCTAGGGAATCATACGTAACTGATATGACTGGCGGGGTTACGTACATCACTTGCATTCAATTATAGT